GTGGTAGTTGTTGACTCCTAACTTTGCTCAGTGCTAAGAACATCTATGATTTCCACTCTTGGGGCACAAAGATCCTGGCGAAGTGGAATCGACTGGAATGTTCCCCGAGTTGATTGCAGTACCTGCAATTACTGCCTAAAAAAGGGAACTGGTACGTCATTAGATGCAAGGCCCAAGCAGCTATTTAGATAGCTAACATTCCTGGGGACTGCTGATGTTGTGGATTGTTGTGGTATATCCTCGATGTGAGCAGTTTTTTGCGGTTGTATACATCCATGTACTGAAAGTGTTAGTTATTGCATGTGATTGCCAACTTTTGGTTCGTTCAGCGTTTGAACTAGCAGCTTCCAATTTCACACGTTTGACTGCTCCGAATCACGGCTAACTCATGTGAACTCCCATTTCTGTGGATTCATTCACTCCTGTTTCATGGTTGAACCATCGCTTTTCATGACGCTTTTCAACGTTTTTGATCATTCGAGTTCCAGACTTCCGCTTTGAGGCGAAGCAGTGCCCGTTGCCTATGGAGAAGGTGACGGCCAAGAACGAGGAGGAAGGCCACACCTGGGACCCTGGGACCCAGGGACCCTGGACCAGTAGACCGACATGGCAGGTCTCAACGGTTACGGTTACCCTCTGGTAAACATACAAAAAACGATGGAAAGATCCACCATTTTAATGGGTAAATCCACTATAAATCACCATTTTCAATAGCTATGTTAGTTTACCAGAGGGTATGGTAAATTAATCGCAATAATTACGCATTGAGACGGAGTAAGAACCAGGATTGGAGGATTACGGATTAAAATATTGTATCGGCAGAATTTCGAAGTCCCCAGATATGCATGGTATGTCATTAAATATCATCAAATATCATTTTATATAATTATATATATATATAGTCAAAAATTGGATTTAATGGGATATTAACCATTAATTTATCCCATACATATGGTGATTTAACGTAGCAAACTGGAAAGTCACCGTTTCTAATAAGTAAATCATCAGAAATAGTCTAGGAATAGACCCTGGTCATCTATTTTCGGTAGCAATATGTTAAACAACCATAGGGTAAAGGGAAATTCAACCATCATCTATAGGTGTTTTCGTTATGGTGCTATTGACATTATATATATATATATATAAAGGTATGGGGATTTAACTGAGAGATGATTGTTGCTTGATGATTATTGTGAATCTATGGATATTTAATGGTTGTGTTTGCGTGTTTTTACGTTCCATCTCTGAGACGATCTCCAATGACCCATTTCGGTTAAAACAGAGACCAGCGGTTGTATATTGGAAGAAATGTCGGTATATTAGAAACAGAAACCAAACCTCCAAGATCCCAATATTAGATTTGTTTGTTGGTTTGGTACATCGGCCCGACTTCCGCAATCGAGTCCGCGCGGCAGCGAACGGCGCACGTATGGACAGAGTACGCCAGTTCCTCGAACCACTGCTGGCAAGAAGCTCAAGGGCAGCACGGTAGGCATGGCTTCACTCGAAGGTGCGCTGCAGTGGGTAGTGCCAGCAGAGGCCGCTGGGGAGTTGCGAGCGCAGGTCAGCTCGCGGCCATTTTGGCGAGCTCGAGACGGTGCGGAGCGGGGTCTACGGGCCTCGGATCTTCTGTAAGTCGGAACTCACCGTTACCCGAGGAACGCTGGAGGTCTAGGCGTGGTCCTGAGCTTCCATCCGGATTCTTACGGTGCGTAAGCAGGGCCTGTGTAGGGCTGTCCACAAAGTGGGCAACCCCCTGGGTGAACCTTTGGTCCTTTGGTATGGTTTGTTGATTTTCTTTTTGGACTCCAAAAGCATGATGAATGATGCAACATGGTCGTTCAATCATTGAAACATGTGATCTGACCGCCCACAGCTGCCAGCATCCAGGCAAAACCAGTTACCGACGTGCGGCCCCCAGATTCTGGGCGCCGCGATCAGGGGTTGAAATGTCAAGATGTCCTTCCCACGGTAATCTTATGTAGCTATGGGAAAGTGGCTACTTAATTGCTGATTTACCAAAGTGCTGATTGTCCATAGCTATGTTAAATTACCAAAGGGTAATCAGGGGAAGCGAAACATCCCTGAAAACATAGCCCAACCATGGGGAATATCCGCTCCATTCACCATCCGGATCCATAGGTGTCCAAGCAGGTAGTGAATTCTGTGTGAGCTGTGTGCTTCAAATCAATGACGGAACATAGATTTCCATCCTGGTGATGGGCCCTGGGAGCCGATAGTGGTTGATTACACCTTGAGAAACTGAAAAAAGATGACGAGTCAAGAATCAAGGGAATTGTTTCATTGCAGTGTTCTTTTTGATACTGATATTAATGTATATTAATATTCCATTCCCCAAATGTCGAAGAGGTCGTATATCATGAATTCTCATGCATATTTGCTATTTGCTGTCCCTTAGGCATGGATCAAAAGCTATTACTTCATGTTTGGGAGGGACGAACATCCATAAACACCAACTATAGTTTGATGTTCGCTAAGATACCCGGGTTTTTTTCAATGGTTTTTACCCTTAAGGGCCATTTGTCAAATCGCCTTGGAAGCCACATCCCTTGGAACCGGTCCGACGGTTGACGTAACGAGGTTACTGTCCCATCTGCGAGCACTCGGGTCACGCCCGCATTTGCTGCCCTCAGCTCTCCCAGGAGCAGAGGCATCGGTGAAAGTTGGGTGTGGGCGATCGCATCATGTGGTAAATTCCATGGTAATTTCATGGGTTGGTGAAGCAAACATCAACCAACAGCAATCAAGTATTCACAGGAAATATGATTGGATATCATTACTGGATGTAATTTCACTGGTTGGTGGTTGGTAAATTCATGTGGTAAACCATGATGATTTGTTCAAACAGTCACCCAAAAAGCGGCAGATGATCCATTTGGGGAGACGTCACCAGCATTATTCCAATCATTTAATGATCAATGGCGATATATCTATACTTAATGGGATTATAACCCATTTATAACAACTGGTTGGTGGTTTCAAACATTTTTTTCCATTTCAGATATGGGATGTCATCCTTCCCATTGACGAACTCCTTTCATATTTTTCAAGATGGGCACATTGCACCACCAACCAGTTCATCATGGCCCTTTTTGGGCTCTGGTTTTTAGGTCCAGGTCCGCCATTCCAAACAGTGAAGGGCTCGATGCTGAAGATGTGACTGGGAAAACCCATGAAAAAACCAAGATTCAGCTGTGAATTTGACCATGTATGATGGGAATGTGTGCTCACAGCTGGCAAGGTTAACCTTGCTGAAGGTGAGCTTCCAAAATGGCCAGTTTCTAGCGCTGTGGAAATCTGTGAGAAGGGTAGGCAAAATCAAACATGGAAATGTGATATTATAGACATTATAGATAGGAAATGTTTTTTGTGTTTGCGTCATTCCAGGGTTCCCTATCTGTTCAGAAATTGGCGATAATGGTAGTCGACTTCAGTCGCATCATCCGGTGATCTTTGATATTCTTGCTCTGCAATACTGATATGTTACCCAAGTAACTCGCAATAGCTCTCATATTTTTGGAATGGGTTGCAGTAATCACCCTACAAATGTGTACAGGGTGAGATTCACAGAGAGGTGCCATCTTTGGATATCATGAAACTTGGGACCTTTCGCCAGAGCGGACATGGATCTTTGGACCACGCTCAGATTGTTCCATCAATCATGCATATGTTGTAGCCGAAAAAGTATGTTGTTTTACAATTGTGTACCCTGTTCTTGATTTTTATATTGGTAATACCGAGGATCAAAGATGATCAAGCTATTTCTGAGTCAAGTCTTGTGCACATGGGTTTTGCACAACGCAACCCTCGAAGCTGTGCCAATCTTGGCGTTGCCTCACCAGCCTCCAGCTGATGGACGACGGCTTGGTCTGGGCGGGACCCCCATGCTCAATGTAGGTGTGGATAAACAGGGGCACACCTCAGAGGACGAAAAGAAAACCCGCGGGGCAACGTAGACTACGCGTGCGTACGAGCGGGCAACCTGATGGTCTCAAAGATGGTGCTACTTGTTGCACATGGCAATCGCAAGGCGGGCTCACTTCGTCATGGAACAGCCAATACCGAGTTGAGGCTCAGCAGGCTTTTGGGGCGACTACGAAGCCATGGGGGTTTCGTGGATGTCACTGGGAAGGTTGAAGATGATTGAAGATGTCCACTTTCAGTTCATGCATTTGAAAGGAAAATAGCTGGAAACCAGTCTTTTCCTTTTGGAAGCAATTCTGTAAGGTGTGGAACTCTTGCCTGCAAAACTCCTGATCCATGTTTTTTCTGTGGAAATTCTATTTTCGAGGCTTTTGGGTTTGGAACCGCGCCCAAAATCTATCCGCCATGCGGGTTGTTCAAGTCTGATTTATTTTCTGGGTATTTATGGGTATGACATGTTATGACAGTATTCATGAGTAATTATTGGTCAAAGAAAGCATTATGATTCTATTTCTTGGACATCCAGCAAGTCTGATTTATCGTTCCAGCTTCGCCACGAAGACCAGCACCAGTAATTATGCGAGAAACAGAAAAATGGCCACTCCCAAAAAGGGGCCCCTGCTACAAAATGAAGCAGTTTAGATGCGTAACCCACTGTTGAATCATCAGCCCCTTTCCTCAGTGATAGGTCCGATCGCCGCTGGGCCGCTTGCAGCTCCACTTCATTCATTCAAAACGCGTGGTGTTTCCGTCATAAGTCATATTAGATCATATTAGGGATGTGTCCGAAAATGGTGGTACCCAGAAATCCTCAATTTATAAATGATTATAAATGGATTGTCCATTAAAGATATTAAAGACCATCCAGCTATTGGTACCCCAGAACATGGAAAGCCTATGAAAGCCTCATATTTCAGCAGTGATGAGACTTAGAATGCCATGCTATCCCATTCCGAATAACAGCAGTTCTAATTTGTAGGTCATAAATACCCCATTCACCTCAGATAAGCCATGATGATTTGTTCAAACAGTAATCCAAAAAAGGATAAAAAAAAATGTCTTTTTCCAGCGCCCTTGCTACGGCCAGGAAGGAGTACAATGATCGTTGCAAGGATTTCAAGAAGCTTTTGGAGGTCTTTCAGGAGGTGCCACGGGTTCACGAAGCCACCAAAACCACCAAGAAAAGTCTCGCAGCGGCAGATGATCCATTTGGGGAGACGTCACCAGCATTATTCCAATCATTTAATGATCAATGGGGATATATCTATACTTAATGGGATTATAACCCATTTATAACAACTGGTTGGTGGTTTCAAACATTTTTTTCCATTTCAGATATGGGATGTCATCCTTCCCATTGACGAACGACTTTCATATTTTTCAAGATGGTTATTGCACCACCAACCAGAAAGAATATGGGGAGATAATCTGATGAACTTGATAAATGATGGTTGGTTGTTTTTTTTGTTCAGGGGCTACCTGTACTGCCCTTGATATAACTGGGCTGAATTGACCCACTTGCTGGGATGATCCTTACCTTGCAGCCATAAGTTGAAGCTGGGATGATCTTTACCTTGTGTAACAGTGTATATGTGTAATGTTATAGATATGTTTGGGATCTATGATGATCTATGATAAGTGGTAAGTCTGATAAGTATCATCCATAATATTTGATAAGTATGTGTTTGCGATTTAGCAATGGAGGCACATATGTTTCCTGATATATGCTGGTGATGGTAACTGGGTCATGACATGTCACAAGCCGGGTACCAAGCGGTGAGAGTTGGTTGACGGTTGAACTTGTTGAGGGCTATTTTTTCATGAAATCCGTGAATGATCTGCACCGGAATCCCGGCCTTGAAACCCTTGAAACTAATCCAACCAATCTAAAAACAAATCAACAAATCAATATCCAAATGTGATCTCACCAATGCAACACCTATGTAGGTGTAGCCCTCAAACCTCGGTGGGCCAGATCAAGGCCAACGGCCGTACAACGGTACCGTACAACGGCCCCCCAGTCACTACCGTTGGTGAGTTTGAGCCCATCTAACTCAGGATATAGCTACCGTATAGCTACCTTTTTAGCCCTAGTTGACCTGAACTAAACCAACTGAGTGCGAAAGACTGGGTGAGTTTGGGGTCTCAGTTGTCCCTCAAGGCTGAGATCTCGATTTCTCAGAGTTCCACATGTTTTGTTGTTTTTTTTCATGCTGAAAAACGACATATCCCACATGATTTAAGGGTCAACTTTGCTTGGGTTTGATATAGTGGTTTGATATGCTTTGATATTGTTTGATTTGTGTTGCTATGCTGATTGGAAAATAGATTAGCAAGCAAGACAATTGCCATAGTTTTGGCAGCTAGTATTTGAAATCGATATTATTAAAATACGCGGTATTTTACCCTAGTTTAATGTAGTTTCAATGATTATATGTTTGAAATGTTTTACTTTTCATATCAAAAGACTACAATAGAAAAAACAAGTTGCCCATGATATCCCAGATTGCCCCCCAGCGGGGTCGCCTTTTTGGTTTTGGGATCAGGCCGCAAGCGCTCCAGAACCGGAGAAAGTGAAGGAGATCAAGGAGACCTGGCTTGCCGGTGAATTCACCTGGCTTGGGAAGTGCAATTCATCAAGCAGACAAGTTGCGTCCGGAGGTTTACATATTCATTGATTGGTTGAAACGGTTTCAGTGTGTTTTTGTGTTTTAATGATTGAAAAAAAGTTCAATCCTGTCTGGAATGATGATTCCAACTGACTATTCATTTTTCAGTTGAAACCACCAGCTAGAAACTACATTGCGTTGTATTACCCATTGGAATTGGCGTAGGTGGGTGAACACCATTATAGATCTTCAAGTAGACATTATAAATATATACTTATTGTATAAGTAAGCGACCAAATTAATGTAATACTAGTTTAGTCTTGCTTCGCCTTGGCCTTTCTGAGGTTGCACAAAACCTTCATAACCGATAGGGGACATCCCTATACCCCATTTGTGATGCCTCCGGGAGTACTTAAATCCTCACAACCGATAGGGGACGACCCTAATTTGTGCATAGCATTAATTTTAACAAATAGTTTTGTCCGCTACTCATATAAGACATATATTTATAATATATGTATAATATATGTATTATATATACATATATATATACATACAGTATATATACATATAATTATATGCATAGTTGTCTTATATTTGTGGGTGCCAACAACTTGGTAAACACCATGTCTTTTTTTCCACTAGCAGTTCTCAACTTTCCAAGATGTGGATTTGCCAGCGTATTTCAAGACAACCAAAAGGATCACCGGAATCTCAGGGAAGATGATGGGAAGATGTATATGCAGTATGTCTACATATGGGGCTTTCCTTAAATGGTGGTACCCCCATAAATGGATGGTTTATTTCATGGAAAATCCCAAACAAAAATAGATGACTTAGGGGTGCCTCCATTTTAGGAAACCCATTTTACCCGCCAACAAAAAACATGCGTTGGACACCTGGAAAAGTCTATCTTTTTGGGGGTCACTAAATGCAAAATACATATTGAACAAATAGAATCATGCGGTAGACCCAGTGTGATTTTTACCTTCCCAGTAAGCATTTTGGAAAAAAAACTTGGTTGAGCAGGCTAATACAGGAACTGACTTTTTTGCTGTGGAAGTATTTACTGGTTGGTGGTTTCAAACATGTTTTGTTTTCCATTTCATATATGGGATAGTCATCCCAACTGACTTTCATATTTTTCAGAGGGGTGGGGTAGGTCAACCACCAACCTGATTAAACCATGAACCATCATTAACCATATATATAATAACCATTAATATTAACCATGATTAATGGTAGGTAGCTCCAATAAATCGGATCCTGAAGATCTCCCATTGATTTAGTACAACCTGATCTGCAGTTCCATCCTGTCTCTTGGAGAAGTCCTGGTGAAAAAACCGGGGCTTTGGAGATTTCCACAAAGTGGGGCCCCCTAGATAGCTAAGTTGGTTTATAACTCCAATAACTATAGTTTATGGTACTTATAACATCTTATAACTATAGTTACTGGGTGTTATAAACCAACTTATAACTGGGGGACCCCACATTCCAGGAAACTGCAGCTCTGGTGGCCACGTACCGTACTGTGGAGGCGCGCGGAGCCTGGCGTCTGGCGTCTGGCGGCGAGCGTCTGGGAGCTGATGGGTTTCAGCAAAGCCCGGGGATTTTGATAGGAACACCTGAAAAATGGCTGGATGGTGATGATGGTGATGTGGATTAGTGCAATGAAATTTGGCGGAAAATTATGAGGAAATCAACTTCCGTGATTTCTCATGATGTTCCCCAGATATATGTGATAAGTGTATTTTGAGATAGAGCCAAGTTCTGGCAACACAAATCATATTATTGCTTATATGATCCCAACCACAAAAGGTTTGAGTCGTCCATTTGTTGCAAACATAGCTCACTTGCTCTTGAAATGGGTTTTGGATCCCAGTACAAGCTGACATGCATCCTGGCCTGACATGATAGCCTTCCCCAGAGGGAGATCTAGCCGGGAAGTCTGATAAACATTGGCGCGTATTTTTTGGGAGTTGAAACCACCAAATAAATTTGACTGAAGATATTGTAGAGTGTCCCAAAATATCATCATTGATCATTATTTCTTGATTAAAACTCATATTTATAATGCATATCTGCACATATATATATATATATATATATATATATCCAATCAGTTCTGGACACAAATATCTTCTTGCTGGTGCATATCCCATCATATCTCATTGTCTAATCAGTTGTTTTCCCTTTTAGGGAGATTCTGTCTCCCGAATATTCGCAGATTTCGTTTTTTTTTGTGGTCCATATCCCAAGATATGTGCATAATATGGTTGGTTTTATCAGCCATTGTCAATTGGTTAACTCACCAATTTGTGGACAAAGCGTGACAAGACCACCCATCAGTTTCTGATAAAAACCACCCTTGGAAAAAGCCCCGTGGAAGATCACATTGAAAAGGGGAAGGTCTATCGCCCCCAGCGATTGTCTCTTTTCATCAATCTCCAAGGCATTCCCAGCCGGCACAGGTGGCCATGCGCGAGCATGTGCGTGAAGTGATGAAGAGGCGAGCTGTGAAATTGCCATCTTCAGTTCGGGGATGTTCCATTGCCATGTTTGATCGCGGGATATCGCGGGACAGGGGGGGGAGATGGATGGAGATGGATGGAGTAAACCAAATACCCTCTGGTTATTTAACATAGCCATGGAAAATGGCCCATTTAAAGATGGTTTACCTGGGTTTACCTATTAAAAATGGTGATTTTCCATGGCTATGTTAAATAACCAGAGGGTAGATTTATTAGTTGATAGAAAACTAGCCGTAGATGGACCACGGCTTCTGGACAACCTGCAGCAACCCAACATTGTGCAACAGTTTCTGCTGGTATACCCCCATAGTTTTGGACTTTGGCGCAAATTCCCAAGGTGCAGGGCATTCCCTGTTGATATGTCAGAGCATTCCATTCATTAGCGGTCCCGTTGGATTTGACATGATTGCAGACCAACAAAATCACTGAAGTCGTGAAGTCGTTGACAAGATTCTCCAGACACGTCTGCAGAACACGCTTGTGAAGGTGCTTGAGCGTATGCTATGCCCCAGGCACATCCCCATGAGGGGAGGAGAGGTTTGCCGACATCGCTCTCGACGTTGCCATTGACTCCAAAGGGAGCCGGAAAGAGTCGGACTGCTGCAGTGGTGTTGGTTGGACTGATGCAGATCTGATGCAGTTAACCCTGTGCGCATTCTCCAAGAGAAGCCGCAGAGCCAAAAATCGAAAGAGACGGCCAGGGCCTTGGCTTCGTAGGACACGCAGACCTTGTTGTTGAAGCTGGAGGCCGACGTCAGCTCAGCTATCATAGGATCATATGGCATGCCGCTTCAAGAGGTGTCGCTTCAACTAATTTGGAACTGGAAAATGCTAAGCCCATGGGAATCCTACAGGAAGCTGAAGGAATCCAAACAAAAACTACAAAATCTGGCTGGTGGTTTGGAACATGTTTTATTTTTCCATATATTGGGAATGCTCATCCCAACTGAAGAATATTTTTCAGAGGGTTGAAACCACCAAACAGAAATGCTAGAAGAACGTTTAGCAGAACACCTGGATATTGACGAACTTCTAAACGACAAAGATGATGATACCATCAGCCGCTGCTGAGGATTTAAAATGATGCGGTCCAAGTGCAATAATCCATTTGGTGGTTTCACATACCATCATCTTGGAATATTGTGGATAATCATCTTGGTGGTTTCACATACCATCATCTTGGAATATTGTGGAAAATCCACAGAGGAACCCCCCATGATGATCATCATGTCTGTTTTGAAAAAACGTCAACCATCAACCTCCAACTGCTACGACTTGGTTTTTTCTGTGGTTTATCCAATAAGAAACCGCACCCCATTTACCCAGTGCTCTTTGGGCTAAGGTGATAGGAATCCAGTTGATCATTGCCCGATACTACCTACCATACCATCCATTAACAGGGATTTTTCATAATTTTGCATGATATAATTGAAACACATTCTTGAATGTTGGGTTGACCACAGCTGAATCGATTATGGCCATAAACTTTGATGTGAAGCCTTTTCATACTCGACGGGGGTTTACTTCTTTTCTTTCCTCTTGCTTCAAGAAAATTAAACTAACTTGGCAGATCTTGCCAGATCAATAAGCCACCATGTTGGCTGTTGGCTCATCTGAGGTCTGTAAGATTTGTGAAGATTGGTTGATTGGGTGACCCTCCCCTGTGGTGTTGCTTTCTGTTGGGGATCATCAAATCATCCCACGGATCGGAACAGGGTGGGCTGTGACTATGGCTGTTTGACCCTGTGGCTACTGTGGCTACTTACCACTAGAATACAGACTGAAAAAAAAAACGAAGAGTCCTATGGTTACCGTATTGATTGGCTACGTATTGATAGCAATACGGTAAAATATAGTTAGAATATGTTAGAATTCTATATAGTTACATCCCATATTGGTATATCATATCATATCCTACCAATATAACAAGCATATAATCATATAACCCATATATATCAATATATCATATATATATATTTCTATATCAATATGATCATCCCATATTGGTCTAGTTACATCGCCCAGCGTTCGTTACAGGGCGGGCTTCGACCGCCTGGTGGTCTTCAGTGCAGCCGAGGAAGCGGTTTGGGACACTCAGCGGATTGACGAAAAATCGGTGCGGATTCCAAATCCCTAAGGAAAATAGGGAAATGATCTAAGAAGCAAAACCATTCTTTTTGGAAATGGTTTTTTAATGAATATAAATGAATCTAAGGATGGTGGTTTCATTTTTTTTTGGAATGCGACATGTTTCATTCGAAATTAGGGCTTCGAATGGGAACATTAAATGTATAAATCGGATATTAATCGGGATATTCACAGTAAGATGAATGGAATGTTGGTCCATTACCCTTCGGTGTCATCAAACGGGAAATCCCCGATGGAGGTTTAGATGGACGAGAAAATCGCCATGGTACCATGACTACTGCAGGGTCGTAAAACACCAAGAATTCCATGCGTTTTTTACAACAGGTTCGTGTGGTTTTAAAATAGCTAAGAAAAGTGGTGCTTTTTCACCAATCACAGGATTGGGGGGAACTTATCGATAATGATGATTAGCATCTGGTTATTTAACATAGCCATGGAAAATCCACCCATTTTTAATAGCCAGGTAAACCTCCATTTCTATGGGCCATCGAAAAACCATGGCTATGTTAGTCATAACCAGAGGGTAGCAAAAGAAGTCTATCCCAAAATTGGTGATTTAAAGGAGGACACATCAGGATGTAGCCAAACTTTATGGATCTTTCAGCCTTTGATCAAGAAGACTGGTGTTTGAACCGCGAAAAAATAGGATTGCACCAGCAAATTACAAGTGAATTACTGGCCACAACTCTAAATCATGGCCAAAAAATTGGCTGAGACTGACACATCCTTAGACCTTGCAGTTGTAATTTTCTTTCATGTGAGATTTCCGGAGTATCGTCGCGCCATATTGTTGTTTGGTGATTTTTTCTCCTAGCTACGCGACATAGCTTTGGTGAAAGTTCCAGGACTTAGCTGCTGCCCCTCAGAAGAATCACAGCGGTGAGGCTTCGTTTAGACACGACATCGCATGAAATCACGCATGAAATCACGCACATAACTGGGTGAATTCTAGGTGAATGCATGGGGAATAGAACGAACTAGTTCATGGGCTTGCCGCTGCAAGACCACACTGGTATGTAGCTGCCGGCATGGTGCGGCAATTCCCCATACACCCTCGCAAAGCACCGATGGCCAAGAGCGGTCGATGCTTAGAAGTGCCACGGGGCAATCCACTGATATCTAGCCTCAAGGCATTGGCAATTGTGCATGTGGGCGGGTTCCAGGGTTTGTAAACCGCCAGAGCTTGAATCGAAAGGTCACAGCAACGAAGGAAGTGGCGAAGGAAGTGGCAGCTCTCAGCCCAGACTCTGGCTGCATTCACGGCGCTGAAGTGCTCTATGCCTTCTGGCTGTCAGCTCTGGGTTCGCTCTGACTGGGGTGGCATGGGGTGGCGCTAATGGACCCATGGGCGGAGACGGCCACCGCAGTGCCATTGCCCTCTCTTGGCTCTGAAGAAGAATCAGATGAAGCTGACTTATACTTCTGCACCCCCTTTATAATTTTAATAACGCACTTACAACTGGAGGGCCTCACTTTGTAGGTGAAGGTCGGATGATTTGGGGCAAAAAACAAAAAACAATGCCCCGAGATGTTGGGTATACCGAAGAAGAAAAGGAGTATGCAAACCAGTTCACTTTGGGGGATTTAAGATTAACTGCGGATCAATGATTTTTTGGAGATGTTCACAAAAGATATATGGAGGTTTCCTAAAATAGGGGTATTCCCAAATCATCAATTTTTGTTTTTGGGATTTTCCATGAAATAAACCATCCAGCTATTGGGATACCCACATGACTATGGAAACCCCCATACCTGAAGTATTCGTAAAGTGACCATGATCGTTGCCGCAACATCCCAGTTGACACTTGTTCCCCGCGATCACCTCATGATGGTAAACAGGGGTAATCATCCCAACACACGGTACATGGTGAATTGGTGCTCCACGTTGTGGACCGAGAGCAGCATCACTTTAGGGAAAGAAACCCATTTAGAACTAGAGGGCCCCACCTTGTACTGTAAATTTGTAGGACATATCTACCATAAACTGTAAGCCATAGTTAATCTAGTTATGTTTACCAACTTACCAACTGGCATTGTGCAGGTGTGTTTGATTGTTTTGGGAAGAAGTTGTGCACATCATGCATGAAGCCAGAAGTAGCAGACGGAGCGTAGCGTTAAGACTCCGACTGCGTTGATGTGGCCCAAAAGTTTGAAAGATATTTTGGATACATAGGATGGGGCTTGCAGGAATCTCATTGAGAAATATTTGAGAAAACCAGCAAGTTTCGCTTCTCTTGTTAGCTTGGCAGACATCATGTTGATGCCTGACAGCACAAGCCGCAAAGCATCAAGATACAACGAGGATCAACGAGGTCTCTGGATGATGGGAGAGGCAGTGGGTGTCCATGGTGAAAAAACCGCCGTGCCGCCTTAGGCCGAAGCCAAAGTTGCTGCAGACCGCGCCAAGGTGCGATGGATCTCGATGGGAAATCTTGGAAAATTCTGGAAATGACTATGAAATGATGGAGGAAATAGATGGAAACATGAGAACTGATCATTTTCCAAACAGCAAAACTGGGAAATTCACGGAAATCCCAACTTTGTGTTAGTTCTTAGACACCGTAGTGAAGCAATCTTCTGGTTTCGCCGGCTGTTGGACTCCTTATCCCAGGATACGCCGTACCCATGGATACCCCTAAAATCCCATGGTGTATCATCATGCTCCCAATTAAATTGCTATAATGATGACATAATAATTATACGATATTATACCCTATTTTCAGACACACCCATTTATTAAAAAAATGGGAAGTATTTTATGATGACAAGGTATTGTACTGAGGTGGCAATATGTGGAAATATGCTCCTCAATACCTCATCAATATAACAATTGCACGTGGAATAGATAACCATAGTTGTAGGGCTTATATGTTATAGCTCAATTTTTGGGTGTAACTATCGTGATTATATTGAGGGCCCGAACTGCACCTAGATTCCCCCAGTCAGTAATTGTGAAATGAGCATCTCATACCCAAGTTATGGTCCGTATCACCAGTTTATATGGCTTATAAACGGTTGATCAACCACTCACTCAGTGGAACTGTGCCCCCCAAAATCACCCGAACGCATTCAATTTACCAATAAAGGCCCAATGAAAGCCTAGTAGCGATGGGGTGATTTAACCATCAGCCACTAGCTTCCAGCTGGCGCTGTTGGGTACCCTTGAAACTTCCTCAAAACACCATGGGCCATGGAAAAATTGCGTAATTTCACTACTGGTAGTATCATTAACCATAGAAGATATATTATGAAGATGGTACTAGATACAAAATTAACCCTAGTTCATATAATAGTTAACCACAGCCAATATAGCTCATATCAATTTAATAGATATAATTGACATATAGTTAATATTATATAGTTAACCATAGTAATTATAGTGTAATATATTTCAACAACAGTTTAGTATAGTTTAGCATATATATGGCTATGGATCAATACCTATAGATACAGTTTATCAGGGGATGAACATCCATTTGCCACCTATTTTGATGTTCGCCAGGGCTACATGGTTTTGACCCATCCCCATATATATATATATATATATAACAATCTACTTTACATGTTTCCTGTGTGGTTGATAAAAAAACCATGTTGTTGATCTAAATTTCAGGCCGCCGAGAAGGCTGAGAAAGCCGCCGAGGCCGCGCGAACGGCCTGGGGCACAGCCGGCTTTGACGGTGGTCCACCGTGGTTCGGACGCGGTGGGAGAATGGAGGAACCAGGCGGAAAAATGTGGAAAAAGGATGGAAAATCATGGAAAAAGATGGGAAAATGGACTGATATGGACTGATGCTTCGAGTCAGAAACATGATGATTTAGTCGACAGAAACGGTTTTGTTTTCACGTTTTCTTAGATGCGAACTATAGGACAAATAAAGTAAATAAACCAACATGACCCATTTTAGATTTGTTTTAAATCAACGATCAATCCCACTGAAATCCCACTTTTCTATAGATTTCCGTTGGGTTTTTCCATGATCATCTTGACGCTGCTGCAATCCCCATCAAAAACGACTTCCCGAGGCAGCCAAAAAGGCTGCTGAGCGCAAGGCTGCTAAGGCCCATATGTTGTGATATTGGCATGGAACTATTGTGAGGTATCCGACAGGTATCCCAGTGTATAATTATCAACACTGATGTTCTTGTATGTTCTTGTAGAGTATCTAAGGTCAGCCATGATCCTTTATTTTTTGGGGTGTGTTCAAACTTGACACTGTTGAGTTGTGTATCAGTCAAGTTTGTGTATCAACGTGTCAAGTTTTCTCAATCTGGCAAAGAGTCTTTAGAAATGACACGTGGAGATTTGGGAAAGGCTGTCTCTTGAGACTACCAGTGGTGGATTTTTCAGCCCCAGTTAGGTGGCTATGACATCAGCAATTTGGCAGGTCATCCCCAAACAGTTCCAGCCCCAACACCCGGCAGATTCTTCATTGGGATCATGTTTTGTCATCCCAGGCGAAACTGGCGAAACTGGACCCACAAGCTTTGTCGTATTAAAGGCCAGTGTGATTACCAAAGATATAAAAGTTTGGTGATCTTTGATTAATCAATTAAATGTATTACTATCTATAGATTCTGATAGTATATCGTTTTAAAGGCCATGTGTGATTACCAAAGGTATCTCGTTTGGTGATTGCCAGATTTTTAAGTCACTTTCTGAATGGTGAATGGTCGACTTAAACCATTCCCACTTGGTTGCGAAGATTCAGAATGAAATCGAATTTTGGTCTTGGAGAACATCTCTCTTCTTTTCCTTGCTTGAATCCCCATTGTCGCTGCTGAAAATAGGTCTTTTCTGTCGATTGAATCCCATGTTTTGTCGTTTAAATTCAGTGTGTCGTTGATTGAAATCCAATTTTACTCGAGGAAGTCAATTTTCATCCACATTTGTTTGGCCCTTTTCCAATCATCAAAATATTCAAAATCCACATGTGTTTACCATATATTTCACAATCAAACCCCAATAAAAGTGCCCACTTCACCACCATGTTCACCACCATGTTGACCGATGAGTTGTTGATTTCTCAGTTTTCGTTGATGTCAATCCACATCATCCAGGAGGAGGCCTTGGCGAAGGCCGCTGCGGCCAAGGCCAAGGCCAAGGCGAAAGCGGCAGAGGCCAAGGCGAAAGCCAAGGCGAAGGCGGAAGCGGCTGAGGCCAAGGCGAAGGCGGACGCAGTGGGATTCAATGGGATATTTTTTTGGGGGGAACCTATGGGAAAACCAATGGGAAAGCAGATGGGATATTTTTGGGATATTTCTATTGGATAATATTATTTATTCAATGGGAAAACCAATGGGTTTCTATGAATTTGGAACGTGACTCTCAATACGCGGCCGATGCCGCAGTTGCATGCAGTTTTTGGGATGCGACGTCGCTTGCTGACCAAATGGTGCGTATAATATGAATCCCCAAAGAACAATTGATATAGTCCACAAAGGGAGGACCTTCCCAAAGGGCCCCGTCCCATCATTCCATGCAATTCTCGGCCAAATCTTGTTCTAGCTATGCGTTGCCCCCCCTACTTGGCTGAGTTGGTTTACCATGGGTTTAACTAGTGTTTATATGGTGATGATATAACCATGCTTGGGTCGGCTGAAACACCAACTTAGCAGCTGAAGATGACCGACCGGTGACCGGATTCGTCCAGGCCAAAGCAGGCCCGAAGTCAAGGTCGAGGCGAGGAGATAGGGATCTGGAAGTGGTTTAATGTGGTTTAATGATGTTTAATGTGGGAAACCCTGGCTGCCATAAACCATCCCCAAGTCATCATTTTGAGTGGGATTCCAACCATCGTCATGGTCGGTTTAAGGCAGGGTTTCCCACAGTAACCAACATGGATAATGGAGATCGAATCAGCTAAGGTGACTCCCAAAAAAAAAAGGTGTTTTTCACGGCGAATCTCAACCATCTATCACTAGAATTTGGAGCAATTGGCGAATGAAACTGAGGGTTCACACAGAAACAATGTCATTTTTGTTGAATGGAAAAACCCATTTACATTGGATGGTTCCGGGATTTGAAATGGTGAGTTTCACCATTACTCGACGTGATCTTTCATCTGAGAAGGTCACGAGTGGTGACATGGCAAGGAACTCTGTTCGATCCGCCAGAGGGACGGATTCCCGGTGGGGCTCTGAAGCTCTGAACTTGATCCAGCGCCTTGGATTCCGGTCGGACCAAGGAGGTGCTTGGGGAACGACTTGAGCTGGCAACGAAGCTGGTTTTCGTCCTGTCCACATCTTCCACAGGTGGTTCATATCCATGTTATCCCTGGTGGTTTGGAACATTTTAATTTTTCCATATATTGGGAATAATCATCCCAACTGACTTTCATATTTTTCAGAGGGTTGAAACCACCAACCAGATGAGAGTTATCCCTTTGAAACCTGTTTCAGGTCAGTGAATTTCTAAGGACGATGACCTCCAAGTGGTTGATATTTTTTCCGGCTGGTGGCTCAACCACCAACAACGGCTTTGTCAGCAGGACCCCCCCAAATCCCATAGTTTATCATTAGTGTTCCCATTAAAATGACAATATGAGGGGCGCATCCCATTTTCAGACACACCCAAATATCATATCAAGTTGCTTAGTTAAATCCTGCCATATCCCCATTTTCAGTAGGTAAATCCGGATTTTCAGTACGTAAATCGCCAGTTTCCCTAGTTAACACACAATCAGAGGCCCAAAGCATCTTCCACCTTCCCCACCATCGCAGGCGCGCTGCACCCGCTGAAGCTGAAGTAGAGCAGGTCCCACAGGCGCCAAAGGGCCACAGAGCAGGAGGATTTTGCTCTCGTGGGGCATCCTCCAGTGTTATTTATATATAACTATATATAGATAATGATATACTGTATATTATATATATGCATATATATATATGCATATATATATATATATGTTAGCCAGGTGTTATATAGGGTTGCATATTTATACATATATTATATATATACATATCGTATTGATATAGCAATAAGTAACAATGTTAGCCAGATATGTGAAATAGCAATGTATTGTTATTGGCTTATCAATCCCCAAAAAAATGCTCGAGATGTCCAAGTGATAGATTCTAGGGGTCAATCCGGATTTTGGGCTGACAACTTTTAGCCAGACCCAAATATTGTAGAAATATATGATATATTGGAGCGTGATAGTGTGTATGTATATATATACGGAGAGAGAGAGAGAGAGGCAATTTTAACGGCGTCGAATGATTAACCATTCGCCCTTTTAATGTTTGAATTTAATTTACAAGTATATACAGCATATATATATACACATCATAGCATAACATTAGAAGAGAACAAAAATATATATTGTACAATGATGACATATATTCATATCTATATATATGTATGTATCTAAATATTAAAAGTTGTATTTATCCAGCCTACTCTGGAAGATGATTCCAAGGTTTTGCTCTGATAACTCCACTACTTCGCCAGGCAAAGCGTCGCAAGACGGACACAGGCGTCAACTGCAGCGGTTCGTTTTGAGCAACGGAAATGCGGATATGAAATATATTTTCGGTGATATAGTGCTATTTCAGCTATATTCAACGGAAAAAAAACAAAAAAAAACATACCCAATGATATCCCATTACAGTGCCATTACATATTTTATTTTGATTTATATTGATATCATTATTGGGTAGGGGATGATAGTTTTAAAAAAAACTACCATGACATGTGAAAATTGACAGGAAACCAGGATGATAAATAATGTTACGTTGTATTTTGGGTATATCGTAGCATGCAAACAATCAATGTCAATTTGAGTTTGCCCAGAACTTTCCAGAACTTTACCAACCAAGTTGTGGTTGCTATAGTCAAAAATAACACAAAAAAACCGTGAAAATTTCAGAAAGTCAAAGGTGTATAAAAACCGTGAACCTCCAAACAAAGGTGACCCTGGTGAGGGCGAAAATTGCAACCGTCAGTGGGAGATTGGTTGAATCCCCATGAATATGCCATTTTGACCCCCCATGACTGGGAATGGTTTATATATAGCACCTATAAAAATGGTGATGACTGGGGGATGGTTGACATTGTTTTATCCACACTAGAAGTTTTTGTATGTTTTTGTCGCTAAGAATGTGTTCTTGGGCTTCAGCTGAAAGAAATTGTTTTTTTTTTCCCATTGGGTTTTCTCCACCATTTACTCGGTGAGCCATGGGTAGTTCAATTATTCAATTGGTGCGCGGTAAGTAAACATTTCCAATGAATAATTGATATTTTACATAGAAAATTGGAACATTGAAAATGGAACTTTCCAACATTACTTATTCAAAGATCGAATTTCTATGTTCCAAGTCATTTCCAACAGTTTTCCGGAGGATTTTTGTGCTATGGAACACGGCCCATTTGGTTCCATGATCGCTCTTAGCGTTTGATCGTGGTGATTTTCCAGACGAAGTCATCGTGAGGATTTTGTGGGTGTGTCTGGAAACGAAGAATACACGCAAAATCGCAATTTTGTTGTTGAACGTGATGATAAATCAAGGATTTTGGGTGGTATATCCATGGTATATCCATGTATATCCTATTTTCAGACAAACGCAACTACTTTCTTCGTTTGTAGCACTGCCACACATTTGCTTCAAACTGACACTGTTGATCTGCTTGACAATCAGCATCAACCAGCACCCACGGAGATCAAACTAGATTTAATCTAATAGGAACAACATGTTGGGCAACATGTTGCATTCCCTGAAAACCCATTGGAAACCTCAATATGGAATGGTTTAATACAATGACCAGCCAGTTGGCTTTGTCTGAAAATAGGTGTCTCTCAAAATTGTCATCATTGATGAACTATCAATAATTTCATTTTCAGCTTGTTGGTGGTTTCAAACATGTTTTATTTTCCATCATATATGGGATAATCCTTCCCATTGACGAACTCATATTATTCAAGATGGTTAAAACATGTTAAAACCAGCAACCAGCTTAATGAAACATGTTTTTGTTGGGTTTTTGCCATGGTTAATACCATGAAATCTCTATACCAACCAGTCAGTTTCCATATGTTTCCATGACATCTTCAAAAAACGACTTCGGGCAGTGACGGCTGTGTGGACCCCACATCCCACCAGCCGAAGCCGCAGGGAAGTCTGCGGTCGAGGCCAAAAAGGGGATTCGGGCGAAGATCTCGTGGGAAACCTGGGATCTTCGCCAATTTTTTTGTTGGTGGTTTGGAACATGACTTTTATGACTTTCCATATTGGGCTTTTATTTTTCCATCTATTGGGAATAAGATGAACAACTGACGAACTCCATCATTTTTCAGAGGGGTAGGTATACCACCAGCCAGCAACTTGTTTTGATCTGTGGATGCCAAAATGGCATGTGTTTCTCGGATTTTTTCAACCACAAAGCCCACAAAGCGCTGGGCATAGGAACAGGGATGAAACAACATGAAACAACCAATAGGCTATCCAGTGGTTAGAAGGGAACAAAGGAGCGGAACAAAGGAGCGGAACAGCTATCCACATTCTCAATAAAATGGTGAGTCAAGGAGCTGCTGAGAGTTCCCAACCACATGATGTCTATCCCACTTTGATCCATTTTGTAAGGTGTTTTCTCATACCCCGCATGCAACTGGGTAATTGGATATACAATCAACAGTGTGATATTTAGATTGGTAGCACGGTAGCATGTTTTTTCTCTGACTTTAGGCCACAAACCCCTGGGGGTAGGTTTGTCGTTGTCCAAGGATGGGTGATTTGACCAACGCTAATGGTGGCGATATAAAAACCAGCCATGATGGGGATACAATAAACACATATGTAGAATCATATAGATAGTAAATGGAATATTATATACATGAGATATTAGGTATAATTAGGATTTGTCCAAAAATGGGTGATAACCAGCAAATGGTTGAAACTCAATGAGAGAATGATGATGAAACATAGGTATGACGGTATGACTCAAAACCCACTGTGCCAGAGTTGGATGAACATCCATAATCATAAACGTAAGTTATGTTTATGTGAAAACCAGGGAACAGTGTAGTTTTGATTCACAGCATATGGGTGTGAGCAAAATCATGGATACCCAGGACAATTGCTCTATTAATCAGTGTGAAAATGATGAACCATGAGATTTTCGGGTACCTTATTGATATCTATTCTAGTACCTATCCCTTCAAAAATGGAACAGGTTGAATTGGCATTTCTAACACTATTTCGGCATTCGATTTTATTGTTGGGTTTTTGCGATTGATAAAAATGAACCTGATAATCTGTATGTTTGAACATTGACAACAATGAAGTTGGCTCGGAACTATTCAGGTCAACCGCGGTCATTCAGAATGAGATATACCCCTCACTTGAAGCGATTTTTAATGAGGGAAATGGTCCTTAAATGGTCCTTAACTTCTTTCCCCTAAAACCAAGTACCCCCCGAGGGGAACTTCGTTAATTTGGATCATTTTGGAGGCTCGAAGGCCCAACGGATTTATCAACCCTGGTCGAATTTGGGGGATTCCCACGGAATAGACAACTTGCTATTTAAATAGTTTTGAATCAAACAACCAAAAAGGGGTTATTTATCCAGAGTTTACATTGTACATATGAAATCATATGAAAACGAGGCGCGACGCAACATGTGACAATGCAATCCTAACATTAAAGATTGAATCATATGAATCACATGAATCATATTACCTCATACCTCGACGAGTCCAGTGCAGCTGCGTGCTGGATCGCACTGGCGCTACCACAACGGGGCGAAGTCGAAGCACGGCCTGTCGCTAGCTGCTGGACGCACTGTTAAAAAGCCCCATAAGAGTGCAAGCTGCGCAAAGTGGATCTTTGATATCTGGTGCATGGTTAAAAAAATATTGAAAGATGCTTCAGCCATATTTTGGAGGATGATACCCACTGACCAGTATTATTGGCTCAAATTTTGTTGTGTTTTGTCAAGAATGAGAAAAAGGGTAGCAGCCAAGAAACATGTTTCTTTTTCGGAGTGCCAGGAAGAAGAGAACCGAGCTACTCGTTGTTGGTCAATTCACTCATGGATTTCCCTGGTGAATGACCAAAATGACATAAAATGACCAAATAGATCCAAGTGTTATCTGATGTTAGCTGATTTTTGTCATGGATGTTCTAACATCAGAGCTAACATCAGATATATATCTAACATTTTTGTCATGTTCATCCCAAAGTGCTGTTCCAAGTTCGGAGCTTCGCTATGCTTCGCTATGCTTCGCTGCCAGATTCAATTCATTCAAGATGGCCCTGCTGTGGGATGGGCGGTGAAAGGCACGCCACTGGATGGGGCCACGCGGCTGGTGGAAAATGACCGGTGTGACGTTTTTGGATGGAAAGCTGGAGAAATCTTCAATTTATCTGGATATTTCAATAATTTGAATTGAAACCATACCCATAAGATGAAATATTACGAACAGTTGTACTTGTGCTATTTGTTACTTGAGCCCCCATATGAGCTACAGCCAAAATATACCGTAATGTAAAGTAGTGTTCGAGATATCTTTATTTTTGGAAACTGAGCTGGGGCTTGGAAAACGATAACACTCTTCAAAAAACGATAACGTGTTCTATATTCCCAAAACCTGAAAAACGATAATACACTGATCGAAAATTGATGACTTGGAGCTATATACTAAATATTGACTGTGGCCCATATGGGTTTGTCTGAAAATAGGGTATATTCCCAATGAAATAGCCATTTAATAGGGATAATGATCAGCAAAACCATTGGGTAAAAAGGGGTTTTATCTATTTTCAGACACACCCACATTACCAATGGTTAATGATCATTATCCCTATTAAATTACATTACCACTTACATTACCACATTACCACTTTACATATTCTTTTCAGACACACCCATATTTTCACATTTAATGGTACCCCTAAAATAAAGAATAGTGTGTATATAAAATACCATTTGATGGTACCATTGAATGGTACCACCCAATACCACATTACCATATTTTCACATTTTATCAAAGAATATGTAGGGGTGGTAATGTGGCATGGCGCCATGCCAGAGACAGTTGAGTTGAACACCGGTTTTTTGATGTTCAAACTGGGTATGGTAAAAATGGCAGTGGCTGGCTCCCACATTCACTGTAAACACACCATGTTTAAAGACTTTTGATCACATTACAGTATACTCAGTATATCAAGTTTTATTATGTTTTTAGTCTTGTGTTATGTATGAATGATTTATTCAAGTTCTCCAGGTTTTTCATATCCATCCCCGTTTTCCAAAGGTCAAACAGCTGTCACTTCCGCCAGGTGTGAGCTACAATTCCGGCACCCAATATTTCGTGAAGTCGGAGCACTTGGAAATGTTCAGGTTGTTTTTTGGAGCGTTCGAAACCACCAAGTTGGTTGATGATAAGTTCGGGGACTATACTACCCTATAGATACAGTACATGGATGGATGGATGGATGGATGGATAGATAGATAGATAGATTGGGGATTTATATCTAATAATCCAAGAACGGGAATCTCTATCAACCAGGATTATTCATGGAATGAGGGATTTTCAACACTGCTCTTCAATGTTTGTGAAAATTCATGGGATATTCATGGGATATTCACGGATGGAATATTGATCATGGTGCCCCTAGTGAAATGTTTCTTAGTTTTTATAGAACCCCCATGGGGCACCACCTTGTGCTGATGATGTAAAAAGAGTGGTGTGTTTAACCACCGAAAATAGGGAGTCCCAATTTTGTCAGGTTGAAAAATGGTGATGAAACGGAGATGTAATGGGGGAGAATTGGGTTTCAAGCATCAAACATAGCATGCTACGTAGCGTTTGTTCCCTTAAAATCACAATTTTCAATGGGGCTAGATCCCCCTTTTGGACAAAAAAGTTTTGTCAATATATCCAAAAAGCAGTAAAAGAAAACGTAAATTGGTTTACAGTCGTTTATTTACACATATGTTCACACATATATGTATATATATAATATGTACAGTCTGTTATGTTAAATGGTGCATAATCCTCTTTAAAGGCCTGCTTTTGTTGAAGTCTAAGGCTCCAATGCATTTTAGATGCTACTTGAACCCCCCAAGTGAAACCCAGAATTATAACTTTCTCAGAAGGTACTTGGATCCACAGGGGATACGTATGTAAAGACATTTGTATAGAATATAAATACAAGCTATGTATACGTATGTATATGTATATGTATATGTATATGATATATGTATATGTATATGTATATATATGTAGGAATTTAAGGTTTAACGGGGTGGGAGTTTAATATGCCCTAGTACCTTTGTTGTTTTTCCCATAGGAATTTTGTGAAGGTGCATCAGCATTTGTTTGGGAATGGGAAACCTCTACGCTGCAACGCCTGGGCAAAACCCAGGCGTTGCGCGTATATATACACTTAGGTTTGGATAAAGATGCAGACATATATTTATATAACCTTTACTACAGGTCAAAAAATGATCGTGAAATTTCCCTTCATCCCTGGCAAGCCATCGTCCTAGGCGTCCGGACTCGACACTCTGGGAGACCAGGTATCAAGCCTTGAAGGACTTGGACCAGGCATGGCGTTGGTTATCTGGGACCAAGCTGAAATGGATGTGAAAATGGGGGGGTAGCCTCTGGTAATTTGTTAGATAGCTAGGAGAAATGGCCCAGTGATAGTTGATTTACCTATTAAAAATGATGATATTCAATAGTTATGTTAGTTTACCAGAGGGTATACCTTCGACATATCCATTAGGGAACATGATTGTTAAACATTAAAATGTCGGGAAGCTATTTTTAGACAAAACCATATTTGCTTCCATCATCCTAGTATTACATCACATGAACATGTCTTCAGATCCATGACCAAACCCAGGCGGTGTATTTCTGGCCCAATTCCAATGGCTTTTCAGTAGACCCCATTGCCAAACCATGCGAAAGCCGCATGATTTCTCTGGTGAATTTCTGAAATGGCTGTGTGTGCAACTGGGGATTAATCCAAAAAAGCAATGGAATAATGGATTTTAGTGTTTCCAACCAGATGTCCAGACAAACCATGACAGAGCCATGAACAATGAGGTCTATTATTATCCCATGTAGCCTATCAAGCAGCTTTCTCTTATTTTGCAAAAGATGGAAAGTTAAGCCGCGGACCATCATTTTTAGTGGGGGAAGTCATGATATCCCATAATCCATATATATATATTCCATTCCATTTGGATGAGTTTCCCTTAAATTGTCTGATCAAATTCCTGTGTTGTTTGAATGGATTTCCACGGGACTGTTGCAACAGGATGATGCCATTGTGGTGGCAGTGCAAGCCGCAAGGCGCCGCGCAAGCGCGGCAACTTCTTTGGTGGTGTCTTTCGCGGAAATTATTGGGATTTAACGAAGAGAAATTGGAATTGAAGGTGTACAACTTGGAGGAAATGTGATAAATGTTTGGTTTACAAGATGATGTACTTGGTATATAGATATATTGTGTGCCTAAAAACAATTGTTTTATATTTATGAGGCTTACGCCTGACAGCCGGGCGCCGGCCAAAGCAGACCCGTGGAAGGTATGCGTTGGGTGTAATCCATGTCCATGTTCTGGTGTTGTTGTTGTTGTTGTTGTTGTTGCTGTTGTTGTTGTTGTCGTCGTCGTTGTTTTTTGTTGTTGTTTTTGTTGTTGTTGTTGTTGTTGTTGTTGTTGTTGGCCGATGTTGGCCGATGTTGGCCGATGTTGGCCCTATTTGGGCGCAGGTTTGCCCCTGTCTTGGCCCTAGGTTGTTGTTGTTGTTGTTGTGGTTGTGGTTGTGGTGGTGGTTGTCGTTGTCGTTGTCGTTGTTGTTGTTGTTGTTGTGGTTGTTGTGGTTGTTGTTGTTGTTGGCCGATGTTGGCCCTATTTGGGCGCAGGTTTGCCCCTGTCTTGGCCCTAGTTGTTGTTGTTGTTGTTGTTGTTGTTGTTGTTGTTGTTGTTGTTGTTGTTGTTGTGGTTGTTGTGGTTGTCGGTTGTCGTTGTCGTCCTTGTTGTTGTTGTTGTTGTTGTTGTTGTTGTTGTTGTTGTTGTTGTTGTTGTTGTTGTTGTTGTTGTTGTTGTCGTCGTCGATGATGATGTTGTTGGTGATGTTGTTGTTGATGTTGTTGTTGATGTTGTTGACGTCGTTGATGTTGTCGATGTGGTTGATGTGGTTGATGTTGTTGTCTTTTGCATCAAGTTGGAGCTAAGTTGGGCCATCTTGGAGCTATGTTGAGCCATCTTGGGGTCATGTTGGGCGATCTTGGGGCCATGTTGGGCCTATGTTGGGCCATCTTGGGGCCATGTTGGGCCCATTTTGGGCCATCTTGGGGCCATCTTGGGCCTATGTTGGGCCGTCTTGGGCCATCTTGGAGCCATGTTGGGCCTATGTTGGGCCATCTTGGGGCCATCTTGGGGCCATCTTGGGCCTATGTTGGCCCTATGTTGGCGCAGGCTTGCCCCTATCTTAGCCTTATGTTGACCCATGTAGCCCACATCTTGGCCGATGTTGGCCCTATGTTGGCACCAAGGCCGTCAAGAACATCTGCAGAGACAAATTTTTGCGATTTTTTCCGCCCCTCAAAGCAAAAACTATGGAAAAACCCACATTTTTTAACATCGCCAAGGTGCAATTCTGCGCCGCCGAGGGGCCCGAAACCCTGTAAAAAACGATGTTTTTTGAACACCACACGCAGAATACACTGTAAATTACAACGATAATCGTGGGTCGGGGGTGAACCGGAATCGACACGGGGTCGACCCGAGGTGGTCGGCGGCAGGGGGCGCAGCCGTATATAACCTTCGGTTACCACCGAAGGCCTCCGGCGAGGACACGGGCGCGGGGCCGGCGCCCGGATTTTTGGGCTGACGCCCCTCGTCGGCTCCGCCGGACCACTCGGCCCTCCATTTCATCGCAGTGTGGGCGTGAAAGTTACTGAATGAGGACCTGCTTCAGAAATATATTCCTTAGGTTTTTTGGAACATATTTGTTGGAATAGACGATTTTTTGGGGAGCAAGTGAGTTCCCGAAAGCTCCTGCAAAGGGTTTTTCCTAAAGAACTGCTGCCGATTTCAACTTGTTACTTCGTGTAAAGGCGCCTCTGTGCAAAGACTTCTCTGTGTAAAAGCTTTTGTGTGTAAAAGTTTCTGTGTGTAAAAACCACTTTGTGTAAAGACTTTTTTGTGTAAACGCTTCTCTGTGTGAAAGCACGTCTTTGTAAAGATTTCTCTCTGTGTAAAAGCTTCCGTGTATAAAAACTCTCTGTGTAAAGGCTTCTCTGTGTAAAAGTTTCTGTGTGTAAACGCGTCTGTGTGTTAAAGCTCTCTGTGTAAAGACTTCTTTGTGTAACAGCTTTTGTGTGTAAAAGCTCCAAGATGTTTGTGTGAAAAAGCTCCTCAGAGGAAAGACTTCTCTGTGTAAAACCTTCTGTGTGTAAAAAGCTACTCTGTGTAAATGTGTAAAAGCCCCTGCGTATGTAAAAGCTTGCTGTGTGTAAACGCTTTGGTGTGTAAACGCTCCTCTGTGTAAAGGCTTCTGTGTGTAAAAGCTTCTGTGTGCAAACGCGTCTGTGTGTAAAAAGCCCTCTGTGTAAAGACTTCTTCGTGTAAAAACTTTTGTGAGTTAAAGCTCCTAGACGTTTGTCTGCAAAAGCACCTTAGAGTAAAGACTTCTCTGTGTAAAACCTTTTGTATGTAAAAAGCTCCTTTGTGTAAAGACTTCTCTGTGTAAAAGCCCCTGTGTGTGTGGGTAAAAGCTTCTGTGCGTCTCCTCCCTCCAGCTTTCTTTCGGGTCACGCTGTCGTCCAGTTTCAATCTGCAACGTTGTTTCTTGTGGAAGAGTGCAAAATAATGCAAAGAACATGTGAAAGCATCGCGCGTTTAAAAATTGAACATAAACAGCGCACAAAGTGCTGTAATTTACAGCATATTGCGCTGTCAGCTGGCAAGAACCCGCGTAAATACCACAGTTTTAGTCCCCCAAAGTGGCTAAAACACTGTTATTTACAGGGTTTCGTTCACGTCACGATCTTCGATTTTTTGGGAAACGCGTAAATACCAGCGTTTTTTGCGTTCATCAAGGCAAAACATCGGTTCAAAAAGTGCAAAAAATGCTGTAATTTACAGGGGTTTGGCGCCGTCACGGGCAAAAAACTGCGTAAATACCAGCGTTTCAGCGCCCAAAAGTGGCTAAAACACCGCTATTTACAGTGTTTCGTGCCTTCCACGTTTTCTTGAAATTGCAAAAACACTGTGAATACCAGCAGTTTTTGCGATCAACCCGCCAAAAATGCTGTAATTTACAGTGTTTTTTTTGCTTTGCTTTCAAAAACACTGGTATTTGCAGTGTTTTGTGCATCTCCGGTCTAAAAAGTATTGGCATTTACAGCATTTTCTGCTTTTTTTCATTGCTCCCGCAAAAGACGTCAAAACGCAAAAATGCTGTAATTTACAGCATTTTGTCACTTTCGAAAAGCGAAAAATCGTCCGAAAAATGCGTCAAAACGACACTTTTTTCCGATTTTAGGTACCCTCAAAAAAGGGGGGGGGAATGCTCTTGGAGACGCTTATGAGCGACCCGGATTCCGGCCAAAAAGCTCTCCCCCACCCTCCTGAAGGATTTTTGGTGTTTTTCGGGGCCCGGCGTCGGAGGGTCGGCGGTTGGGGCGCGCCTCACCTTAGAGCTCTAGTCGCTCTGGGACGCTCGTAGGGCAAGCCACTCGTGGGGAGCCGGCGGAGCCGAATTTAAGGGCTGCCGCCCCTGCCGCCGACCCCGGAAAAAAGAAACCGTTGGATTGCAGCAAAACACCATGCCTCTGAAGGACGGAGAAGCCCCAAAATTGCACCTCGAAAATGCCTAACGTAACTTCTGAAACCCATAGAAAATGATGATGAAATGATGCTTTTGGCTGCTTTTTTTCCCTCTTGCTGCTGCTATGAATTCTGGCTACCTTTTCCGCCTGCTGCTGCAGAAACTTTTGCTGCTGCTGCTGCTGGTCTTCGGATGGGAAAACACCATGGAAAAAATCACCTCCCGGCAGCAAAACACAATGCCTCTGCAGGACGGAGACGCGCCAAAATTGCACCTCGAAAATGCCTAACGTAACTTCTGAAACCCATAGACAATGATGATGAAATGATGCTTTTGGCTGCTTTTTTTCCCTCTTGCTGCTGCTATGAATTTTGGCTACCTTTTACATCCGTCCCCCAAATCGGAACACACCTGGTCCTCGGATGGGAAAACACCATGGAAAAAATCACCTCCCCACAGGGAAACACCATGCCTCTGAAGGACGGAGAAGCCTCAAAATTGTACCCCGAAAATGCCTAAGGTAACTTCTGAAACCTCCTGCTTCTGCAGAGACTTTTGCTGCCGCTGCTGGACCCCAGATGGGAAAACACCATGCCTCTGAAGGACAGAGAAGCTCCAAAATGGCATCCCGAAAATGCCTAACGTAACTTCTGAAACCCATAGAAAAAGATGATGAAATGATGCTTTTGGCTGCTTTTTTTCCCTCTTGCTGCTGCTATGAATTCTGGCTACCTTTTCCGCCTGCTGCTGCAGAAACTTTTGCTGCTGCTGCTGCTGGTCTTCGGATGGGAAAACACCATGGAAAAAATCACCTCCCGGCAGCAAAACACAATGCCTCTGCAGGACGGAGACGCGCCAAAATTGCACCTCGAAAATGCCTAACGTAACTTCTGAAACCCATAGACAATGATGATGAAATGATGCTTTTGGCTGCTTTTTTTCCCTCTTGCTGCTGCTATGAATTTTGGCTACCTTTTACATCCGTCCCCCAAATCGGAAAACACCATGGAAAAAATCACCCCCCGGCAGCAAAACACCATGCCTCTGAAGGACGGAGAAGCCCCAAAATTGCACCTCGAAAATGCCTAACGTAACTTCTGAAACCGATAGAAAATGATGTTTTTGGCTCCTTTTTTGTCTTGCTGCTGCTATGACTTTTGGCCACCTTTGACCCGGTCCCCAAACGGGAAAACACCATGGAAAAAATCACCTCCCGGCAGCAAAACACCATGCCTCTGAAGGACGGCGAAGCCCCGAAATTGCACCAAGAAAATGCCTAACGTAACTTCTGAAACCGATAGAAAATGATGCTTTTGGCTCCTTTTTCCTCTTGCTGCTACTATGACTTTTGGCCACCTTTACATCCGGTCCCCAAATGGGAAAACACAATGGAAAAAATCACCTCCCGGCAGCAGTAGCAGTATTAGCAGTAGTAGCAGTAGTAGTAGTAGTAGTAGTAGTCCCCAAACGGGAAAACACCATGGAAAAAATCACCTCCCGGCAGCAAAACACCATGCCTCTGAAGGACGGAGACGCCCCAAAATTGCACCTCGAAAATGCCTAACGTAACTTCTGAAAC